TTCGAGAATGAAAATTTGAATGAAAGAAAAAAAAATGAAAGATAGATAGAGAGAGAGAGAGAGAGAGAGTGAGAGGAAAAGAGGAAGATTTTTGAATTGTTTTGTTTTTTATTTAAAAAATTTATTAAAACAACAAAATTATTTTTAGATTAAAAAGTCTGTTTGTTTGTAAAAAAAAAAAAAAAAGAATTGTTTTTGTTAAATTTTTTTTACTAACGTAAATGTGATTGAACAACTACAAACGGACAAAGAAACAAACAAACAAACAAAAAACACAGGAAACGTAAATTTAAAGAAAAACAAGGAGAGAAAAAAAAAAAATTTTTTTTTGTATTTATCAATTCGATTTTGTGCGTGTGAGAGAGAGAGAGAGAGAGAGGGAGGGGAAGGGAGTGGGGAGTGGAAGGAGAAAAAGGTGAAAGGTTAATGAAATATTTAAAAATTTTTTTTAAGTTAATGGTATAGAAAACAAACATTTGTTATTTACCACGGAAAAATAAATATATTTAAAAGAAAAATAAAATTAATTGAGTGTAACGCGAGGTAGGAAAAAAAAAAAAATTTTCTTTCCAGTTTTTCCAGTTGATCAATTATAAAATGACCATCGAAATTTTTTTTTCCTTTTTTTTTTTTTCTCCCCCGTGTTGTTGGTAAACCTGAAGAGAGAGAAAAAACTAATTTCGTTTGTTTTCTTTTTTTTTTTTCTTTTTTTCGCTTTGATTAGAAAAACTTGATTAAAATAAACAACGTGTAAAAGTAAATTTTTCTTTTTTTTTTTTGCTCGTGTGTGTTTGTGTGTGTGTGTGAATGAAATTTTCTTAGATTAAATTTTTTTTTGGGGGGGCGGGGAGGGAGGGAGAGAGTTTAGGGAAAAAAGATAAACAGGGAAACGAAGGGGATAAAGTTTTGTAAATAAATAAAAAAGAAAAAAAATCATCTCCGTCGTGTTTTTTTTTCTCTCTCTCTCATTTTTTTTTCAAAAAAGGTTTATGGGGGTGGGGAGGGGGAGGTAGGTGAAGGGAAGGACGAACTGACTGCTGGAAATTTTTATCAAAAAAAAAAAAAAACTTGATTTACAAAATTTGAAATTAAACGTAAAAATAAAAAACAAACATTGTTGGAAACGGTAAAATAAGGTTTTTAATTAAAACGATTTTCATTTTGTCAAATATTCAAATCAACAAACAACAATTCATTACTCGGTTGTTGTTGTTGTTGTCGTTGTTTTTAATTTTTTTTTTTTTTTTTCATTATGTTACCTAAAGTTAATGGAAATGTATGTAGTTAAAA